TGAGTGTGAGCCCTGGGCTGCGGCTGCCTGCCTGGAGGGGGAGCGGTGACCCTAGCTCACCTGCCTGCTGGACTAAATGCCAGCGCCCAGTTCCGCAGGCCCTGCCTCTTCGGCTTCTCCCTGCTCCTTGGCCCTCGCTAGGTGCCGTAGGGTGTGCTGGGATGCTGTGCCCCAGCTCACCTCCTGTGCGCCTCGAGCCTGAGGAGGGCTCAGGGCAGACCCCTAGGGCTATACTGCCCCAAGTGGTAGCCAGGAGGCTAAAGTAGTAGGGGTCCTCAAAAAGTTCATGGAAAATGCATATTATAAAAAGACTGCATGGATATCAGAAATTTTATGCATTGAAATAAAGTCAGGTTAATTCCATTTCCATGAACTTTTCTTTTTCTTTTTAGGTTTTTGTTACAAAGTGTGTGTGCTAGGACCAGCAGTTAGCGTAATGACTATATTGCTGAACTCTCATGTAGCCAACCGCAGTTTGAGTCCCGGACCCGATGGCTTAAACTCACGTCAGGCGCATGTGCGTGCGTGCCCAAGATCCCGAGAGGAGAATGAAGGAGAAGGGATTGTGACGTGGCCATACCCCCTGGGGGGTGATTTCTTGCTTTCTGTCTGTCTGTCTCTCTGGTGAGCGCACACGCCCTATAGCAAAAAACTTCTCCAAAAAAACCCCCAAAAAACAAAACAACAAAACAAACAAAAAAACCAAGTGTCTCCAAAAAAAAACCCCAAAAAACAAAACAACAAAACAAGCAAAAAAACCAAGTATGTGTGCTTGCCAGAGGCAGAGACAGAGGCAGTGTGGAAAATCACCCCCTCTGGGGGGTGGCACGCTGCAGTCCCTTCTCTATTCGCTTGGGATTTGGGGCACGAATGCACGCGTGCCTGGTGTGGTGCTCCAGCCTCTGGGTCCAAGACCAGCTGCTGGGGCCGGGACTCAAAACGCAGTGAGCCACGCAGGAGTCCAGCGCCTTCACCACCACGCCGCCCGCTGGCCCCTCCGTGGACTTTTCGAAGCCCTCTGGCATCTGAGGGAACGAACAGCTCCTCAGTCTCAGTAGCCACGTTTCGCGAGATCCGTGCTGGCCAGGCGTAGCTAGTGGCTGCCATTCTGGTCAGTGCGGTCACAGGACGTTTCAGACACACCACAGAGCGTCCCACGGGAAGGCGCTGGCCCGAGGCCTGCAGGCTGACAGGGGGACCGTTCCCCTCTGCAGTGGGAGCTCCTTTCCCTTTGAGGGTAACACCAGGATGTCGCACGCCGCCTTCCCGCCTGGACCCTGTCGGACAGAACTGAGGGCCGCGCGGAGCTGCAGAGGATCCACGCCAGCTAGAAGTCCCGTGACCGTCCAGACAGGGAATGGCAGTGTCGCCACCCCCGGGTCGGGTGCGCCCTAAAGCAATCTGTTTACTGTACTGTCCGATCTTGAGTCTTCGGAGACAAATTCCTTGAGAGATTAATCTGAGATCGTACATACCTGGCGACCCCCGTCCCTGATGTCTAGGTAGCAGTCGTGGGCCTGTTCCAGCTGGCTGGGGACCCGCACACCCAGGCCCCCGGCTTGTGCGGGGGTCTGCACAGCTGACCCAGCGATGTCACCTGCCCACAGGTGCAGATTAGGGACCAGCCATGAACTACTGGTCTCTAGGGCCCCTGGCTACCCCTCCTTGGGCTAGTGTCCCAGGCAGTACGCAGTGGGGAGAGGGGCTTGTAAGGTTTCACGGCTGCTCCCCCACTCCCTGTGCTCCCCTCATCTCAGGGCGCTCCGTGCCGCCTCCCTCCAAAGGAGTCGGTCTCTAAGTCCATGAGGTGGCTGTGGAGGGTGGGTGGGTATGGTGGGCAGGGGTGGGTACTGAGGAGAACAAAGCTATCATGGTCATGACTGGGTTACAAGCGCGTGTTTTAAGAGCTGGTGAGAAGTCATGATAGGAACCAGCAGTTGGTGTAATGGCTCCTGTCGCTGGACTCCCATGTAATCGATCCTGGTTTGAGTCCTGGACCTGGTGCCTTAAACTCATGCCGGGCATGTATGCATGCATGCCTAAGGTTCCAAGAGGAGGGACCTAGAGATGGGATTACGGTGTGGCAATCCCTCCTGGGGGGTGATGTCTCTCTTTCTGTCTCTCTGTCTCTCTCTGTCTGGCGAGTGCATGCACCCTATAGCAAAAATCTCTACAAAAAAAAAAGGGAAGTCACGATAATCCTGAGGAGGGGCGTCAGGTGAGTGTCTACCTCAAGAAAATCAGGATAAGGGGGACCGTGGGTCCCCAAGGGGACCAGGACTTCTGTTGTGGGACGGGGTTTCACCTGACAACGGCCCCTGCTGTCCACGCCCACCTGCCGTGTGCCAGGCTCCACGGTATGTCCCTCGGCCCATCCACGCAGCCCTCACTGCCACCCTGGTGCAGGTGTTGTCCCGGTGCCCGGGAATGAATGAACGGAGGCTCCAAGAGGCTGAGAGAGCACCGGGACTTGAGTACGGGCCCGTGCGGCTGCCTGTCCACGTGGTCTGCCGGCCCGAGCTGCGCTGCGCCCGTCCTCTCCTCCCCACCCTCCGTGCCCGCCGGGGCATCCTCACACACGCTGGGCCCCCCGAACCCTCACCTGAGCTGCTGCCCACCCCACCGCCCCCTCTGGCCGTGCGGTCCCGGGGCCAGGGAGACCTTGTTCTGGGCATGCTCTGTCCAAGTCTGTTCCCAAGGCCCCCAGCTCCGAAGCTGAAGTAAAAGGAAGTGAAATGAAAATCTTGCTTAAAGCACATCTGCCCTGGGCCTGGCCTCCACCGCTGCTGGGCCTCGAGCGAGTGAGTTCAGACTCCCCATCTGCAGAGGGGGACGGTGCCTGTCACGCTGTAGTCACGTTTGCTGCCGGCGCCCACGGGAAAGCGCCACGCCTGGAACCACGCGGGGGCTCAGCGCTTCCCTCTTCCCACGTGTTCTGAATGTCTCAGCTCCAAGTGTGCGCTGCACATGCGTGTGTGTGCGTGGTTGTGTACATGCCCCCAGGGCCCCCCAGGTTCCTTCCGGGCTGGGAGAGCACGTCTGTCCTGGACCCTCAGCGGGGACAGCAGAGACCTGCTCAGGAACCACAGAGCCGAGGCGTTGAGCTGGCGTCTTTATTGCCACTCCGCAGCTGAGGTCCTGCTAGAGACGGGGTCAAGGCGTGCCTCTTGCTCCCTGGGGCCACGGCCTTCGCGAGCTCTCAGACTCTGCAGACGACGCGGCGCAGGGGTCCCGCGTGATGGAGGGTGACGTTGGTCCCTGGTGGGAGGTGGAGGAGGAGGCAGAGCTGGGCAGCAGAGAGGGTTAGAGGTGCCAAGTCAGTGGCTCTCACTGCCATTCTGGGGGCAGACCGCAGCAGAGAGACCCACGCTGCCTCCCAGGAACACGCGACCCCACCCGGTCCCCTGCTGGAGAACTACCTTTTCAAGCAGTTCCTGGTAGTTGGCATCATAGGAGGAATTTGCCAGAAAAGACTCCTTCAGCTTCAGCCTCAAAGTCACACCTGGCCCTGAGGACCCAAGAGTACAGCGTAGGGCTCAGCCAGGACCAGCGTCCCACGGGCATGCTGGCACCTTGCACCCCGCACTCCGGGGCCCAGCCAGGGCCAGCGCCCCGTGGCCATGCCGGCACCCTGCCCCCGCACTCCAGGGCCCAGCAATGGGTCGGCGTACTGGAGGGATCCGGGCACCTTCCACCCGTGCTCTGCACCGTCCCTTCCAGAGACTCTCTGCAGGCCCAGCCCCGGGCCTCGGGCACCCAGGCCTGGGCCGCCTGTGGCTCTCAGGAGCTTCCCTTCTCCGGCCTCCTCTTGCCCGTGAGGACCAGGTGTCTGGTCTCCAGCCCTCACCTGTTCCGTGGGAGCTGCTGAGGAGGGTCAGGAGGAGGAAGAGGGGCAGCCCGTACCCCATGTTAGGCACCTTGCTTCTCGGAAGGGCGAGGAGTTACTAAAGTCCTGGGTGGCCTCTCCGGGCCGGGCCTGCGACTCTGCACCCGACTGGGTCCTCAGCACAGGTGTCTGGGGGGACGCGGAGGGGGCCCGTGAGCAGCCGGACTTTCCAGTTTTCCCAGTGTGCCTTTGAGGGCCCAGGAGGGCCATTCACAGGCCCTCGGGGAAATAGAGGGCGGCCCTGTCTTTTCAGTGACGTGCCCGCCCGTGCCCCCACGTATCCAGGCTTGGGGGGAGGGTGCCCCGTCCTGCAGAGAGGGTGATGGACAGGGAGGAGTGGGCCCCAGGGCGGCGTCTGTCGCTCCTGCCGGTGTCTGGACCTCACCCAAGCCTGGGCCTCCCATCGCTCTTCAGGGATTAATTATTAACTGCAGCTAATGCCCATCATTCTTGCCACCCAAGGGCTCAGGAATGTGGGCCCACGAGGGAGGGGAGGTTTAAGCTGAATGTCTTCCCAAACCCAGGAGTCCTGCTCCCCCAGCCTGAGTGGCTTTCTAGGTGAGAAGTCCGGGCAATGCCAACTTCCATCTTCGGATGTTTTGTTTTAGTCACTCTAAGGCCTCCTCGGTCGTCACGTGGAGCCACGCTCCTCATCAGATCCCCTGTCACCCCACCCACACACGGGCCAGCACGCGCCACGCCAGACCCTGCACACAGCCACCCGGGCACTCCCCACCTGGCGGGGGGAGACGGGTGTGGGCCACCTAGGTCACTCCCCTAGGTCACGGCCTTCTTCTTCTTCTTTTTAAATTAATTAATTACTTTTCATTTGGACAGAGAGGGGCAGAGTGAGAGAGAGAGAGGGACAGTGAGAAAGTGAGCCGCCAGGCCCAGGACTCCAATGTGGTCCGCCATGGGGAGTCCAGCACCCTTAATCACCACACCACCTGCTGGGCCCCCTATGTTTCCTCTTTTTTTCTTTTTTTGTTTTTTTTAAGAGAATTTTTTCACTGCAGGGAGGGTGCACTTGCTGGAGAGATAGAGAGACAGAAAGTGAGAGATCACCCCCCGGGGACATGGCCACGGTGCAATCTCTTCTCCTCCATTCTCCTCTTGGGATTTTGGGCCCGCATGTACACGTGTGCAGAGTGAGTTTCAAGCCTCTGGGGCCGGGGTCGAACCACAGTCCGCCTTGCGGGAGTCCAGTGACGTAACCATCTGCCGGTCCCGGTCACTGCCCTTCTTTACAAAGGAGGGGAGCTGGCTTGCGGAGGTCAGCAGACGGGTCAGTAGCAGGGAGGTCAGAACCAGGGTCGGGGTTTGGGGAGTCGGGATCGTCCTGCGAGGACAGAGGGGGCGCCCCACCTCTCTCCTAGCTGGTGCCCCCACTCTTCCGTACAGTCACAGCCGCCTGTGCTTATGCTAGTCCCGGCCCACGTGGCTCCTTCAACGCTCACGAGGACCCTGACAGGTGCTGGGCGTGCTGAGAGGGGTGGGGCAGAGCGCCGACCGAGGGTGCTGGGTTAACCTTTCAAAGGAGAAGAAACTAGCGCTTAGTAGGTCTCACCGCTTGCGGAGATGCCCTGGCACCTCCAGGGCCGCCTGGCTCCGGAGCTGGGTTCTGAACACCCGCCTTGCACCTAGCAAACACGCCGCGGTCCTCCCCGGGGCTCCTCTCTCTGCTGCCCCGTCCCCGTGGTGACACCTCCGGTGCTCACCTTCCCACCTGCCCTGAGGGCTCCTGAAGGCACAGTCCCAAGTCCCCATGGTCTCCCCTCGCCACAGCTCCCAGATCCTGCTTCTCTGAGGGGCCCGTGCGTCCTGACCCAGTGGTTGCACTTGCAGGAGTGAGGGGGGACGCTGGGACGGGACTGTGGGCAGACTCGGCCTGGGGCCCTGTCCCTCGTCCGGGAAGAGCCCGAGGGCCAGGTGGGAAGTCCTCAGGCTCTTACTCACTCCCCCTGTCACCCAGGGATTCGTGGGATCAGGCTGGGACAGGTTAATCCCCTGGGACAGCTTGGTGACCTCTCCCTGGGGATGCCGATCCCGGTGTTGATGGAGGCCGGGCACACCTGGCGTCCAGGACAGGCAAGAGGCCCCGGAGCCTTTAAAATGCCAGAGAGCCAGGCCTGGCCACGGCGCGTCAGCGGCACCATGGACGCGGTGGCGCTGCTGCTGCTGCTGGGTCTGCAGGCCTTGGCTGGCCGTGGTGAGCACCTCTGCTGGACGTGGGGGCTCGGGTGAGGACGTGGCCTCTGGGCCTGGGGACAGCCAGCCGGTCTCACCCCAGTCGGATCGTTGTTCTTTTCCCAACAGCTCAGCTGGGCCCTCCATCTGGAAGTCTCCCTTCTGCCTCTGCGGAGCTCCCCACGGCCTCTGAGGAGCTCCCCTCTGCCTCTGCAGGGCTCCCCACGGCCTCTGGAGTTCTCCCCTCTGCCTCTACCAATCTCCCCTCTGCCTCTGGCAATCTCCCCACGGCCTCTGCCGGG